TGTATATGATTGAGCTAAGTGCATGCATCGTCATCCAAAGACAAATGAAACATGATTCACTTCCTAAGACACTGGCTTTCAAGTACTCGGACTTATATTTTAGATCGAATAACAAGTATTTACTTTTCGAGTTGTAAACCGGACTGAAAAATATTTTTTATCCTCAATTGAGTGAATGACTAAAGAGATAGACCTCCAGATTTTAGAAGTTCGAGATCGTTCACTGTAGAATCAATACCTCGATAGATTTACTGGGAATGAACATGTTTTTACAATGTGATTGTCAATAGAATCACCCTGATATGTATCTGAATGCCTCCGTATTTTAGGCCTACCTGCAGACGAGATGGAGATGGCGATGAATATTAGTCACAAAAAGATTAGTTAACAATACATTGTCATGAATTTGTTTTAAGGATTATCAGCTTGATGTGGGAAACATACCCAAATTGATGCAGGCCTCAGACGTTTACCACTTAAAATGAAACCAATGAGCACGGATATGGTGCTGACAAAAGTGAATACATATCATGGCGAGTATTGGATTCGAACCCACGATCACAAGATTTTGACATGAGGGCGAAACGTTGCACAGCGTATTGCGCCGCCTTCAACGTTTGGGTCACCCCAGGCACCTTGCCTCCTGTTGACCAAGGTCGTTAACAGATATAAGCTGATATAATAAATCACCTCAGTTCATTTAAGAGAGCTCGTTCGGAAGTATCCTGAGGTAACACCGTATGAAAGATAGTGCCTGTGAGAATAAAATATGTATGGGTATGGAAATATTTCCTACAGCATAAAAAACTAGACTTAGTAGAATACATATAACACTTACGTACGTGGTGGCATTATAATCGTTATCAAAACTTATTTACATCGTAAACATGTCTTGTATGACTAAATGCTAGTATGGATAAACACAACATTGTCCCATAGGGAAACGTGTCATGACCAACAGTAAACAATCTAACATATTGAAGAATAGGCGAGTACCCGTTACCAAAAAAAGATACACGATTCACGATGTATGTGGATTGAACACAATCATTTTGAATAGTAAAATTCTTTGGAGGCAAATGAAACTGAAAGAAATTCGAACTCCATTCGACATTCTTCATGTCAACATTATTATATCACATTCAAGATGATATTACTTTCTTCAATTAACAAATGTCTGAACCGTATATTCAAACCTTAACAGCGTGTGAAGACTGCCGGCAAACTGGACATTCGGTTCATCAGTTACTTGTCAGATGGGAAAGTAATCAGCGGGCATTGTTGTGACAATCATCTCACCATTTGGTGCAATGATCAATGTGACCCAAAGTTTACCCTGTGCATTGATGGGTAAGTACCGTGGAATGAGTGGACAATGTTGTGACAGTGAAGCTCGTACTTTGTGTATTGATAAATGTGATCCAATGTTTATCTTGTGTATTGATGGGTAGGTATTTTTTTTATATATTTATTAACAAACTATTGAGTGAGACATGTTCATTTAGGGACAGTTTTCTAGTCGTAGTCTATCGTATCTCGTGTAAATAAATGACCCGGACCCCTGTTGCCATTAATACATCAGGTTAAGTACATCACACAAAGGTTATTTTAATGTTGTCTTTCTGATTCTTCTGTGAAATTAGTTTAAGTATTTCCTTGCTCATGTTGAGGTACAACGGTGTATTAGTAATAGAGGGGCGGCGCGATTATAGATTAGGCTCAATGTCTGCCAGCGTCATTGTACATATTTACAAGAAAGACAATACATGTATCAAGTGAATGATTAAGTGATAAGGGGGCACGGGTGGCTCAGTCGTCTAAGGCTCTGCAATTCGCTGTGCAGAGTTGCGTCCCTTGGGCACGCCAGAAACCTATGATTGCGGGTTCGAATCCCGGTTCAGCCCGATTATATTTCTAGGTTTGTCAGCACCATACCCGTGCTCGTGGGTTTCACTGAAGTGGCAAACATCTGAGACGCACATCGCTTCGGGCTTTCCTCCCACATTAAGCTGACATGCCGTGATATAACTGGAATACTGTTAAAAGCGGCATGACACCAAACTCACTCACTCACTCACTATAAGCAACAGAATCAGCTTGACTGTGTTTGTCACGTTTTTCTGTACTTGAAACAATTATGGGGCTTTTTTTGAATAATACATTTTCTTATGCTCATTGAAATTACTGCATTCTGTTAGCTGAATTGGTCACGTGTTATTGCATTCATTTTCCAAAAATATGTAAAAAGTTAAGCCACGCCCATTGAAGCGGACTACATTTATTGCTGCGGAATGTCGGGGAATCCCAATATTACAGTCGATGGAATTCCCTTTCTGCTAACGTGTATCATCATGCACAGGGTTTTAAGCGAAATTCATGCATATTCAGTGTCCAAACAACCCTTTGAACCAGAAGGCCGAGAAGGAATGAAACAGCAAATGAGCAGGCTCGCTCGCCTGGTTTTTTCCCTGCTCGTGTCTGACTATTGCAGTTCTTCTCGCCTCTTGCCTTGATTGTCAGGTCCTATGAACTTTGTGTAAAATTTTGATCCTGCTCTCCGTTGATTGGTTACTGACTTCGTGGGCATGTCCAGTTATGTGCCTAAATTACACAATCACCCGATTCATGTCAGTCACAGTATGTATTCCTTCACCTAAAATGTTTATCAATCTCGTAATTTTTGTCTGCTCTGAGACAAACAAGTGTTTTTGGTTAAACTATTGTATGTTTTCGTTGTCAAATTTAGTTATATGCATTGACTGTGTATTTTTGTCTGTTCATTAAGGTATGAATCGAAAAACCGACGTGCAGACTGTATGAATCAATTCTTTAGTGCATTTGACTTTATTTAGTAAAATAATATAGTGAATTTATGCCTTTGGTTTACAATGTGTAGGAGGGAGAAATGACGTGTTTTTAATGTATAGTTATGTTACCTGTAGATTTGACAGCATCAGAAAACAATATTATGTTATTCCAGGCCAGACGGAGCGCCGTGCTCTCTTTATATGGGGACCACAAACTACATAGATAACCATAACACGATCCACTTTGGAAGCAGCATTCTCGGAACAGAAAATCCTATCATCATACCTGTGCCCAAAGCAGTACCGGTAGGAGTATCACGTAAATATAAATTACACTCCATGGTAAAATACACTCATGCCAGATTATATTGTAAATCTTCAAGCCACATATAAGAATTCTTAACTGTTCTGTGAATGTTGATAATGAAACTAACAGACACAGGTCTCACCATGCCACGTCATAGATTAGGCTCAATGTCTGCCAGCGTCATTGTACAAGACAATACATGTATCAAGTGAATGATTAAGTAATAAGGGGGCACGGGTGGCCCAGTCGTTTAAGGCGCCGCGATTCGCTGTGCAGAGTTGCGTCCCTTGGGCACGCCAGAAACCTATGATTGTGGGTTCCAATCCTGATTCGCCCCAATTATGTTTCTAAGTTTGTCAGCACCATACCCGTGCACTTGGGTTTCACCGAAGTGGTAAACGTCTGAGACATGCATCACTTAGGGCCTTCCTGCACACATTGAGCCGACATGCCGTGATATAACTTGAATACTGTTAAAAGCGGCGTTAAACATAACTCCATCATTAAGTAATAACATACTTTTTAGCTTAGCTGGAATATTGCTGTTTGTAGTGATAAACAACAAACTAAGCAGAGAATATACATGTTCTTTTCTCCAGTCCTCAATAGAAGTAACTGTGCAGGTGTTTGACCATGATGACACCTCCAGTGACGACCACATGGACACACTCTCCAAGCTGATCAACATCCAGGCCGCTGCTACAGAACAGACAGCCGTGTACACCCCATATACAGTGTGGAAAAGGACAAAGTGAGTCAGACTAAGACATAACTGGGATAATACAAAAGAATTAGTTTGGGGGCCAGAAAAAAACTTTGAACAGAGCGAATGATTTCCCATGTTGTCTATTCTATGGATACCATTGGTGTCTAGCATCAGCATAATGTTGATCTGACTGATGCATCTAAACCTCATGGCCATTTGATTAGCACCTCAGGTTTACTTATCACGATGTTTGGCTCATGTTACACCATAAATAGGCCATTGGCACAGGGATGATTCTGTGACAGGAGCGGTTTTAATGTTGACTGTTTAGTGAGGCAGATTCATTGATGGTGAAGGGTGGATTGTTACAAAGAAAAGTTGATGTGAATGACAAACCTTTATTTCCGAAATATTTCACCCGAGTTGCTGGTGCAATAAACATTGAAATGGTGTCTGCTCTGAGGGATGTTGATGGAATGCTTGGGTTGTTTCTCCTTGCATGTTTCTGTACTCTACTGCACCAGGTGAATCCAAATGAAGCTATTAAGCGTAGTTGCACACCACGCTGTCTCTAGCACGACAGGGCACAGGCTCACCTAAGACCACCTCCGAGTTGCCGTCATTAATTTGTCACCATTTACTTCGATTAAATTCTGAATAATTCAACTCACCTCTCCTTACCATAACCAGGTTGTGAAACAACATTACACCTTTCGACCATCAACCCAGAGCTTATTGTATAGAACCCGACTGTTTCATATTCAATTTGTTTCCTTTTTTTATACACAAACTGAAGCAATTGTGGCAGCGGTTATATGATGAGGCACCTAAATCAAAGTGCTTTCATATGAATTTACACAGCAAGATGAGAGAACAAGATGACAAACTGAAATGTTTGGATTGAATTATTTTTTCAGGTTACAGATTGAGGTCCGTGCCTACTGCGATCCGGACTGGTACGGGTCAGTGTGTGAGAAATATTGCAAAGCCCCATCTGACCAGAGTCACTACACGTGCCACGCACACACAGGAGCAAATGTGTGCTTTGAAGGTATTTTCAGAAGGTTGATGTCAGTGTTGGGTTTGTTACTGCATTTACATTAAATTTCAATTTACCACAAATATTTCCTCAATTGCGATGACACATCGTTGTATCAGAAGGCTGAGGAAGTATTAAACACGGACCCACATTCGCCCTGGTGCGAATTCAGTAATGATTTAGTCAAGTGTAAGATAACAAGTCAAGTGTTGTCTCAACAGATATGCGCGCGAACGTCTGTAGTCTCCGGTAATCTTTTGGGGTTTATGAGACAACCCTCCATCCAGAACAGCTCTGATGACGACTCATGGATATGATGTCTACTTGTAGATGCTGGCCGGCACACTGTTTGGGTGTGGTTTTTGGGCTCTGGCTGCTGTTGATATCGGTAAGTGCTTAAGTCATACTTGCACACTGAAATTAAAACTCGTTTTATTGTATATAATTCACATACACGGAATTTGAAAAATAAACAAGGAAGCTATTCACCAAACGGTTTCTATTCAAATCGTCAAAGCAGTGAACCGCCTTAGCTCTAGGTTCTTGTTTGTCGATTTATCCATTTTTCGAAACAAGCAGAGTGCCGATATAAGACTATTAGGTGACCAGAAGTCACACCTTCTTTAACGAGATAATCGGTCCTCTTTCTCGTTAACGCAAAATGGGATTCGGGTGTTGGTTCATTACGCCGCTTGAGTTTGGGCTGAATTCCCAACCTGGGTTCAATGTCTGGATACCATTTATGGTGTCCTCCTACCACCCCGCTGTGTTATGGATGGAATATTACTAAAACCGGCGCCAAAGTAAAAGGTACTTGGGTGATTAATTTATGTATTGTCAAATAGGTATCTGATCCGATATACTTTCAAAATAAAACACACAAACGAAAGTGTAATGGTAAAGTGTCATTTCAATCCAAGACTCATCATTGCCTACAAACCCTGCTCAACAAAATCAACCAGGAATGTTTCAAGACGATGTCCATTTTCATGAGAGATGATGAATCTGCAGCGGTTCTGATTAGAACCCAGCGCGCTGAAACCTTTGTCATACCCTGTTCATTCTTCAAAATGTTCTCAACTCTCTCGTGAGAGATGCCTCCTTTTTTGGCTTTGTGACGCGTGGTGAGTCGATGATAATCCTTAAACATATAATGTATATTATCAACATTTCCCTTAGTGAAAGATGCTTTGCTGCTAGACGTATAGGTCAGAAGGCAGTCAATCTAAAGTGTTGCTATTTCAGTTAATCCTTTAAAAATAACATTGCATACACTGCTGAGTGCGTGAAACTACCTTAGCAATCTTAGCATTATGTTTCCTTAAAATAACAAATAAAGTCCTGCAACGAGCTTTAAATGACTAACATCCTGTTTAAGTACCATAAACAGTGAAATCCAGCTGGCGGAGGGATAACACCATCGTGTTTGTTTAGTGAGTGAGATGGGTTTAACGCCGCTTTCAACAATAATACAGTTATATTGCGGCGTGTCAGCCTAATGTGGGAGGAAAGTTCTATGTGATGCAGGTCTCAGACGTTTACCACTTCGGTGAAACACACGAGCACGGGTATGGTACTGACAAACCTAAAAACATAATCAGGGGATTCGAACCCACAATCATAGGTTTCTGGCGTGCCCAAGGGACCCAACTCTGCACAGCTAATTGCGGCGCCTTAGACAACTGGACCATCCGTGCATCTAACATTCGTTTACTTTAAAAATGAAATAAATAATTGATAAAAAGGGTGACACTGTACACAATATTGTCCTTTTTGTCCCAATTGCAACTGAAAAATCCGAGGAGGAAGAAGGCAAACCGGGCGTCGGCCCGTCGTAGAAAACGGCAACGCGTTTTAACCTCACTGCTGGGAATTTACTCAGTGGCGGATATTTTCGCTTGGGGGACGTTTTCGCCTGTCATTATTTTTATTGTTTCCGTTTTTTAAATAAAATTTTGGTCAAACATTTGTGATTAAGTATACCCTAAGGTATTTAAATTTGCAAAGTTTCTCTGTTGAGTTTACTTGCTCTGTGACAATGAAGAGAATCATTTTATAAAGGTGACATCATGTCTGCATGGAGGGCTGTTAGAGTTAATCCTTTCAGCTGGAGATACTTGGTGACAGCGTGGTAGCCAATTTTGTTGATTTTCATCAACAGAGAATACCTAGCCACTTTGATGAAAATATGCTGCCTGGTTGTGTTTGTGGTTCAATGCAGCCCGTAAGCATGATATACTCAGTACATGCAACTGAAATATAAGAGTGTACTATTCATCCTTCGTTACAAGGCTCAAAACGTTTCAGCCACCCCTCGTAAGTAGAGTCACAATTCAATGCAAGTCTCTGCGTTAGGTTCTGTTGGTGACATTTACCGAAGTAAGGGGAGAAAATATACCCCCACAGCTGAAACGCATAACCATTTTGTGTGGGAAGCAACAAACATTCACTTCGTCATCAGAACACTTGATAAATGAGGACAAGGCACAAAGGACACGTGTCCAATATGAAGACGAATGTCCATGTCATAAGAACTCAGAATCTCGCGTGTTCGCCATTAGCGTGAAGTATTGTCTGTCACCTCCTGCTCATGGACGAACGGATCGCACGGTGGCGAATATTACTTCACTCGGCCGGTGGTGTTGCTGTGTATGGGGTTCAGGATGATCACTGCGCTGCCACTACCAAACCTGTTTGCGGCTAAACCATTATGGTGACATCGGGTCATCATAAATCTTCCATCTGCTCGATGCAGCATAAATCTCGACTCGTCATACGCTGGTGACAATGTTGTTGCGATCCTTGGCAGCCACGAGGTCATCCAATCTTAGGCTATGCGGGGTATAATGCTGTTCGTGCCAATAACAAAGTTTAACAGATGGTGCAAAACTCTGGCTACATCCGCCTGAGACGTTTCTGCTTCAGATCGTCCGATGAGGTTGTTCCGGTTTGCACGGTAGGCTGAGGCATGAAAATACCAGCTTTTGAAGGAGAATATCACATTGATAAAATATTATTGGGTTGAGCGATGTTTCTATTTGTCCATTTGAGGTGACATGAAATGAATATCCGCGTTACCATTAGCTTTCCGTTTTTAACTTTAGATACAAGACAGTACATGATACATATAATCAAAATGTGCATAATCATATTCTTTCAATGTACGATATGTACGTATATCATCTAATAGTTTGACAATAGTTTATGGAGGAAGAACGAATGTGCAATAGAATACGCCGACCATTTCACCTTCCGTGATAATATCGCAACGGTCGTTTGCAAATTGTGAACATAGATTTGTTCATCAACGTTTGTACACTAGTCCGTTTAGTAAAGTTTGGGGATAAGACATTTAGGCAAGAAGTAGGCATCCCCATGCGCACCAATTGTGTTCACCTTCTTGCGGATTTGTTTCTTCATGCATATGAATCGGAATTTCTGATCGGATTGGCAAAGTTAAAACAAGGTAATTTGCCCAAGAAGTTTAACTTAAGCTTCAGGTATATCGATGATCTGATATCGTTCAGTCACCATCAAATAGCCAATCCCCTTCTACTGATTTACCCAACTGAACTATGAATTAGGAAGACCAGTGCATACTCTTTCTACCCAGATTTAAAAAAGAGCGTCATGCGACTCTTGCAAAGTGTGTTTGAAGAAGCTTACAACATTCGAGACCTCAGGGAAGCTTTCAAAAGGTTTTATGGTGGACATGTGGAGGTCCTTTCCAAATTTGACGCATTAGTGACAGATATTATGTTCGATGCAATTGCACATTTTGACTTGTACCAGATGTTCCCGTGTTTTTTCAGGCGAACAACTGACTTGCCTTTGCATGTGTTTGCCACCGATGGGGCAGGATACGCTCACCTTTTCATGAACACCTGGTTTCATCACTTTTCGATAGTAATTCATAAACACATGATCATGATATCGTCGGAATCGTACAATCGACTGTGCTTTATGCAGAGATATCTATTGGATATTGTGAATACTGACGGCAAATCTTTTCTCACGTGACTTTCAAAGGCTTATCCCTGGCTTCCGGCGGAAGTAACACGCCTTTAAAAGTCACGTGAGAAAAAACGGGATCTCGTCCTTGATTCTCTGAGTGAAGAAGAACAGACAAGTATATTAAATGTGTAAAACAGTTTACTCCACAATAAAAATACTCGTACAGTACTTGTTGCGGCAGAATAACTAAATCGAACGTCTTGGTCCTGGAAATCTGGTCACACTGGTCAATCTGATCATCAGATCATGCACCTAAACTCAGAGTCACAAAGTCAACTTGTAAATTTGAGCACAGCTGTGGTCAAACCATACACACACACCTACTGATGACTAGTGAGATAAGGTTTCCACCCTTATCAAACTTGAGTGGTGTAAGAGACGTCCCTACATGCAATAAACCAGACGTTGGTATCCATAAAGTTGTACGTTTTCTTACTTACTCACCAACTTCTAGAATATCAATCAAACAGTAAGGTTTCCACCAATCCTCTGGACAAGTCTCACACAAATGTATTTCTTAGGCTGCGACTAACGAGGATCTGGTGATTATATAATGTGTGACTTGGTCATCAGTGTGTGATCGTTTCCCTCATGCTATCTATCACTGGTTTGTCTCATCCAGGCCGCCGTGATATAGTCGGAATGTTACTGACAGTAGAGTGACACAACACTCACAAAATCACTCTTTCCATAGCTGCCGCAACCGTATCCCTGTGCTGTTCCCTAAAAACGATTTTGATACTGACTTGTCGCTACACAGAGCTTCAGACTGTCCCATAACGTTTTCCTAAAAGGTCCTCGCACTGTATATGCTTCAGCTAAGTGCATGCATTGTCATCTAACGACAAATGAAACATGATTCACTTCCCAAGACACTGGCTTTCAAATACTAGGACTTATATTTTAGATCAAATAACAAGATAATTACTTTTCGAGTTGTAAACCGGACTGGAAAATATTTTTTATCCTCAATTGAGTGAATGACTCAGGAGATAGACCTCCAGTGCTTTGAAGTTTGAGATCGTTCACTGTAGAATCAATACCTCAATAGATTTACTGGGAATGAACATGTTTTTACAATGTGATTGTCAAAAGAATCACCCTGATATGTATCTGAATGCCTCCGTATTTTAGGCCTACCTGCTGACGAGATGGAGATGGCGATGAATATTAGTCACAAAAAGATTAGTTAACAATACATTGTCATGAATTTGTTTTAAGGATTATCAGCTTGATGTGGGAAACACACCCAAATTGATGCAGGCCTCAGACGTTTACCACTTAAAATGAAACCAATGAGCACGGATATGGTGCTGACAAAAGTGAATACATATCATGGCGAGTATTTGATTCGAAACCACGATCACAAGATTTTGACATGAGGGCGAAACGTTGCACAGCGTATTGCGCCGCCTTCAACGTTTGGGTCACCCCAGGCACCTTGCCTCCTATTGACCAAGCAAGTTAACAGATATAAGCTGATATAATAAATCACCTCAGTTCATTTAAGAGAGCTCGTTCGGAAGTATCCTGAGGTAACACCGTATGAAAGATAGTGCCTGTGAGAATAAAATATGTATGGGTATGGAAATATTTCCAACAGCATTAAAAACTAGACTTAGTAGATTACATGTAATACTTACGTACGTGGTTGCATTCTAATCGTTATCAAAACTTATTTGCATCGTAAACTTGCCTTGTATGACTTAATACAAGTATGGATAAACACAACATTGTCCAAAAGGGAAACGTGTCATGACCAACAGTAAACAATATAACATATTTAAGAATAGGCGAGTACCCGATACCAAGAATAGATACACGATTTACGATTTACGATGTATGTGGATTGAACGCAATCATTTTGATCAATCAAACTGAAAAAAATCGAACTTAATTCGACACTCTTCATGTCAACGTTATTATATCATATTCAAGATGATATTACTTTCTATTACATACAAATGTCTGAATCGTATATTCATACCTTAACAGTATGTGAAGACTGACGGCAAACTGGACATTCGGTTCATCAGTTACTGGTCAGATGGGAAAGTAATCAGCGGGCATTGTTGTGACGATGATCTCACCATTTGGTGCAATGATAAATGTGACCCAAAGTTTATCCTGTGCATTGATTGGTAAGTACCCTGGAATGAGTGGACAGTGTTGTGACAGTAAAACTCGTTCTTTGTGCATTGATAAATGTGTTAATGTTTATCTTGTGTATTGATGAGTAGGTACTTTTTATATATTTTTTAACACACTATTGAGTGAGACATGTTCATTTAGGGACAGTTTTCTAGGCGTAGGCTATCGTATCTAGTGTACAAAAAATGATCCGGACCCCTGTTACCACTCATATATCAGGTTAAGTACATCACACAAAGGCTATTTTAATGTTGTCTTTCTGATTCTTCTGTGAAAATAGTTTAGGTATTTCCTTGCTCATGTTGAGGTCCCACCATGTATTAGTAATAGAAGGGGCGACGCGATTATATATTAGGCTCAATGTCTGCCAGCGTCATTCTATATATTTAGTAGAAAGACAATACATGTATCAAGTGAATGATTAAGTAAGTAAGTAAGGGGGCACGGCTAGGCCCAGTCGTCTAAGGCGCCGCGATTCTCTGTGCAGAGTTGCGTTCCTTGGGCACGCCAGAAACCTATGATTGTGGGTTCGAATCCCGGTTCGCCCCGATTATGTTTCTAGATTTGTCAGCACCGTACCCGAGCTCGTGGGTTTCACCGAAGTGATAAACGTCTGAGACCTACATTGCTTTGGGCTTTCCTCCCACATTAAGCTGACACGCTGTGATATAACTTGAATACTGTTAAAAGCGGCGTTAAACCCAACTCACTCACTCACTCACTATTAGCAATAGAATCACCTCGAATGTGTTTGTCACGTGTTTATGTACTTGAAACAATTTTGGGGCTATTTTTGAATAATTAAATTTTTCTTGTGTTCACTGAAATTGCTGCATTCTGGTTAGCTGAATTGGTCACGTGTTATTGCATTCATTTTCCAATAAATGTTAAAAGTTAAGCCACGCCCATTGAAGCGGACTACTTTTATTACTACGGAATGTCGGGGAATCCCAATATTACAGTCGATGGAATTCCCTTCCTGCTCACGTGTATCATCATGCACAGGGCTTTTAGCGGAATTCATGCATATTCAGTGTCCCAACTACCCTTTGAGACAGAAGGCCCAGAAGGAATGAAACAGCAAACGAGCAGGTTCACTCGCCCATTTTTTAATCTGCTCGCCTCGGTTCCACAACTTTCATGTCTTCGGGTTTCATTTCTAACTAGCATTTTTCCAACTGTGTGGCGGTAAGTGACCATGTCATTTGAAACAGCCGCCTTCTCCCGGACATATTTGTTCCCGCTCGTTACAGTCTGACTGTTGCAGTTCTCCTCGCCTTTTGCCTTGATTGACAGGTCCTATGAACTTTGTTTAAAATTTGATCCAACTCTCAGTTGATTGGCTACTGCATAAATTACACAATCACCTGATTCATGTCACGTCACAATATGTATTCCTACACCTAGAATGTATATCAATCTCGTCATTTTTTGTCTGCTTTGATATAAACAAGTGTTTTTGGTTAAAAAACTATTGTATGTTTTTGTTGTCAAATTTAATCATACGCATTGACTGTGTATTTTGTCGGTTCAATGAGGTATGAATCGAAAAACCGTTGTGCAGACTGTATGAATCAGTCCTTAAGTGCATTTGACTTTACTCAGTAAAATAATATAGTGACTTTACGCCTTTGGTTACAATATGTAGGAGGGGAAGATGTCGTGTTTGTAATGTAGAGTTATGTTACCTGTAGATCTGACAGCATCGGTCAACAATATTATGTTATTCCAGGCCAGACGGAGCGCCGTGCTCTCTTTATTTTGGGGCCACAAACTACATAGATAACCATAACACGATCCACTTTGGAAGCAGCATTCAAGGAACAGCGAATCCTATCATCATACCTGTGCCCAAAGCAGTACCGGTAGGAGTGTCACCTAAATCTAAATTACATCCATTGGTAAAATACACTTATGTCAGATTTTATTGTAAATCTTCAAGCCACATATATGAACCCGTAACTGTTCTGTAAATGTTGATAATGAAACTAACAGACACAGGTCTCACCATGCCACTCATAGATTAGGCTCAATGTCTGCGAGTGTCATTGTACATATTTAGAAGAAAGACAATGCATGTATCAAGTGAATGATTAAGTTATAAGGGGGCACGGGTGGCCCAGTCGTCTAAGGCAATGCAATTCGCTGTGAGTTACGTCCCTTGGGTACGCAAAAACCTATGATTGTGGGTTCGTATCCTGGTTCACCCCGATTATGTTTCTATGTTTGTCAGCACCATACCCGTGCTCGTGGGTTTCACCGAAGTGGTAAACGTCTGAGACCTGCATCACTTCGGCCTTTTCTCCCACATTAAGCTGACACGCCGTGATATAACTGGAATACTGTTAAAATCGGCATTAAACATAACTCATTCACTCATTAAGTAAAAGCATATTTTTTTAGCTTAGCTGGAATATTGCTGTCTGTAGTGTTAAACAACAAACTAAGCATATACGTGTTGTTTTCTTCAGTCCTCAATACAAATAACGGTGAAGGTGTTTGACAATGATGACACCCCCAGTCACGACCACATGGACACACTCTACAAGCTGATCAACATCCAGGTCGCTGCTACAGAACAGACAGCCGTGTACACCCCATACACAGTGTTGGGAAGGACAAGGTGAGTCAGACTAAGACATGACTGTGGTGATACAATAGAATTAGGTTGGGGGCCAGAACAAAACTTTGAACAGAGCGAGTAGATTCCCATGTTGTCTAATCTATGGATACCATTAGGGTTTTGAATGATGGTCAGTCTAGCATCAGCATAATGTTGATCTGACTGATGCATCTAAACCTCAGGGCCATTTGATTAGCACCCAAGGTTTACTTATAACGATGTATTGCTCATGTTACAACATAAAGAGGCCAGTCATTGGCACAGGGATGTTTCTGTGACAGGAGCGGTTTTAATCTTGACTGTTTAGTGACGCAGATTCATTGATCGTGAAGGGTGGATTGTTACAAAGAAAAGATAATGTGAATGAGAAACGTTTATTTCCGAAATATTTCAGTCGAGTTGCTGGAGCAATAAACATTGAAATGGTGTCTGCTCTGAGGGATGTTGATGGAATGCTTGGGTTGTTTCTCCTTGCATGTTTCTGTACTCCACCGACTGCAGTGATTGTGATTGCGTCGGGGCTTCATTCAGATGTTACCTGCACCAGGTGAATCCAAATGAAGCTATTAAGCGTAGTTGCACACTAGCTGTTTCTAGCACGACAGGGCACAGGCTCACCTAAGACCACCTCCGAGTTGCCGTCATTAATTTGTCACCATTTACTTCGATCGAGTAATTTCTGAATAGTTCAACTCACCTCTCCTTAGAATAACCAGGTTGTGGAACAATATTGCATTACACCTTTCGATCATAACCCCGAGCTGATTGTATAGAACCCGACTGTTTCATATTCAATTTGTTTCCCTTTTTATAAACAAATTGAAGCAATTATGGCAGTGGTTATATGATGAGGCACCTAAATCAAAGTGCTTTCATATGAATTTGCACAGCAAGATGAGAGAACAAGATGACAAAATGAAATGTTTGGAGTGAATTATTTGTTCAGGTTACAGATTCAGGTCCGTGCCTACTGCGACCCGGACTGGTACGGGTCTGGGTGTGAGAAATATTGCAAAGCCCCTCCTGACCAGAGTCACTACACGTGCCACGCACACACAGGAGCAAAAGTGTGCTTTGAAGGTATGTTCAGAAGGTTGATGTCAGTGTTGACTTTGTTACTGCATTATACATTAAATTTCAAAAGAAAGCACGATTGGGCTTGTCTTGTATTACGACCCTGTCGCATTGAAGTGGTTCCAAAGTACAATGACATGGATTGACAGGGTATCACCCAGTGATGCTTCATTTCAATCATAAACTTGCAGGTTGGGAGGGCGATAACTGCGATCAGGACATCGATGAATGCACAGAAAGTAACATGTGTCAACATGGAGGCAGTTGCACGAATACACCCGGAAGGTTTGAGTGCATTTGTATTGAGGGGATCAAAGGTGAGTAGACTATCGCATATCAATCTACATTTGGATTCCTAAGAGGAACAGGCCACATAGCATGTCATCTTGCGATTCTATGGTTACATGTGAAATTCGTGTCCCCCTCACTGGTATGGTAGTGATACATAGTTTCAGCAACGGCCTAAAATCTCTATAGGCGGGCAGAGATGGGGTGGGGAGTGCAAGGTTCCTACTCCCCATACCCCTCATCCACACAACCTCCCCTACAACAGACTTTGTTTTAAGGATACCAGTCGAGTAATCGAGTGGAAGTATCAAACACATAAAACAAAAAGTAGCAATAAATTGACTAATTTGCTTCCCGAATTATTTTCGTTTATATTTTATTTTTAAAGTGCTCCCCCATTTTCTTAAATATGAGTCCAAACACATGAACACACAGAAACCACGTAATCAAGCACACACAAACGCGGGCTTATGCACACAGATCCATATGTGCAAGCAATTTGTCAAATATATTTAACGTAGCAATACAAGGTTTAACTGCTTGAAACACGGGCTGTAACTCTACAGTTAGTTGGTTGGTTTGTTATTCCAGCTGCATGACGGCGGTCTGTAAATAATCGAGTCTGGACCAGTCAATCCAGTGATTAATATCATGAGCATCGATCCACGCAATTGGGATCGATGACATGCATCAACCAAGTCAGTGAGCCTGACCACCCGATCCCGTTAGTCGCCTCCTACGACAAGCATAGGCGCCTGGTATGGCAAGCATTGGTTGCTGAAGATCTTATTCTACTCCGGATCTTCACGGGTTATAACTCCACAGAGGAGGGAGGGTTAAAAACCTTTAAATGCAACATTACTCAGTGGGCAGTTTCGATGGCAAGCAGTCTCTGTTTATTTGGTCGTGTAGACCACCTCTTTGGTCTTGTGGTAGAGTGTCTGCCCGGAGAGTGGAAGGTTGGGGGCAAAGTTTCGATCCACGTTATACCAGACGTTAAAAGATGGTAATTGTTGTTACCTTGTCTGGCGCTCGGCATAAAGCGAGGACTGGTCGGCTCGCAAACAGTATACTCTGGCTGAGTTGGGTATTGATGTTAAATTGCGGTATCTCAGTGGGCTAGCAGCCACACACACATCTGCATGCATGTCGTTCTAAATCTGCAATAATTTTGAACGCGACATTAAGCCCCATATCATATGCTGCTTGTTTTTCGCTATATACTTCCACCACTTTGTTCAGGAAGACGATGTGAAAACATCACCAACCAGTGTGCACTGAAGGCATGTCTGAATGGAGGAACATGCGACGGAAACGAAACAGGCTTCAACTGCGCATGCTCAGTTGAGTTGACTGGAGAGAGATGCGAAGAGATGGTTAATTTCTGTGCCAGCGCCCCCTGTAACAGAGGGAATTGTACACCGGACCTCTTGACGGAAACTGGGTTCAAGTGTGATTGTGACTTTGCATGGTTAGGGGAAAGATGCAGCCAAAGTGTGGGTAGGTTAAATGTTGTCTTATATGTTAATATGAATGTCTTGAGTGAGTACCGTGCTGCATTCCTGAATCCAGTAAACAGGCAGAATAGGCAAGTAGGTTGACGCCCTCGTCTCACACTTGTACAGGTACAGCTGCCTTCTATAGTGAGTGAGTGAGGTGGGTTTAACGCCGTTATGTCACGGCGTGTCAGCTTAATGTGGGGGGGAAGCCTGAATTGATGCAGGTCTAAGACGTTTACTACTTCGGCGAAACCCACGAGCACGGGTATGGTGCTGACAAACCTAGAAGCATAATCGGGGTGAACCGGGATTCGAACCCACATTCATTGGTTTCTGGCCTGCTCAAGAGACGCAACTCTGCACATCGAATCGCGGTGCCTTAGACGACTGGGCCACCTGTGCCCCACTGCCTTCTAGAGAATTCGCGAGACTTGAATAATGCCATACATCAACAAATGTAAAACAAGGAAGAAGGCAAGCTCCCCACAGCGGAAAACTCAACACTGTGATAGCAGCGAAGGCGTCACGCGCTGGGATGCAGGTTGACCATTAACATCAAAGGGAGGTCACTCTTTATCAAGGTCACTACCAAGGTCAATATTATAAGAGCGCCTCAATCAATTTACCACTAACTATCATCAGAAACAAAGTAACGATATGAACTGCCACATAACAGGAACTATAGATGCCGCCAGACAACACACAGGTTACATGGTTTTTGGTTTTCCTTCTGGACAGTGTATCCAGCCAAGGTATTGAGTCAGATGACTGTGTACATTGTTTGATACAACGATTGTTGATGAGCATCTGATCCACCCATTGAGACCAAAGTAAAGGCATTTCTTGTTCTATCAAAACTAAAATGGAATTAAGGACAAAGAGGATTTCATGGGGATTATTATGCTATTTTTGCTTAATCACGTTTTTCTTAAAATGACTATTTCGTCATCATGAATTGTCTAATAATAAAGTAACACATTTGAATGGATAAAATAGCCAAAGACTTCATTTTCAATAATTATTTCATACAGGCTTTGGATGACATTATAATTATTCCTAAAAACCTCATGTTCTTTGTATTCAGACACTGTCAACATCACGCTCCTGGGAGAGATTGATCACACAAACAGAGGTTACCTGACTGATGGCTTGAAAAGACTCATTGCAGAACTTGGGGAAATTCCAGGAAAAGTGGATGTCACGTTTACAACAAATACACAAACAGAATGCAAGTGAGTGATAGACAGTGAATGAGTGTATGTGAATGACTGCATGAGTGAGTTGGATACAACGCCAACTGTATTCCGGTTATATCATGGCATGTCAGCGCAATGTGTGAGGAAGCACAAGTGATGCAGGTCATAGTGCTGACAAATCGGGGCGAACAGGGATTCGAATTCATGATCATATGTCTTGGCTTACCCCAAGGAAGCAACTCTTCAGTGAGAACTGCGGTGCCTTAAACGACTGGGCTACCCGTGCCCCCGAGTGACAAACAGGATGCTGCTATACCAGTATGACAAATAGGGGCCTACTTGACTTTAGAATTTGAGTATTCAGTCCTGCAATAAATGTCACGATCTCAACTATGTTTGTTTTGAATATATATTTCAGTTATACTACAACGTACGTGCAACTCTATTCAGCTTTGGAGAACGGCGCCTTTCTGGACAGTGCTTCAGTAAATATGATCTTCGAATCCAACAGTGATGAAGTCCTCAATGAATATCTGCCTATTCCGTTGTACCCTCCCCGACAAGAAGAGAAGTCGACGGTGAAGGTAAACTACACGATGCCAACAAAGTTGTTGTCGATGCCTTGTTAACGTCTATAAAACAAAATAACACAAAATGTATTGCCTTTGTAAGGACGTATATTCGTTTGTTTTGTTGTTGTGTGACGCCACACTAAGAAGTATTCCAGCCATAGGTCTGAACAGGTCGAGGCTGGACCAGACAATCCAGTGATTTACGACATGGGCAACAATCAACACACTTGAGATACAATGACCATTAATCAGTCTTGTCACGGACCCTGAACACCCGATCCATTTAGCCGCCTCTGAAAGTAACATTTGAAATCATAACTCAATCTTATTCTCGGGCTCACTATTCTTATTTGATATGCAAGTTAATGTCGTAACACTTTCTTTCATTAGATCAGTTCAGATTACTACAGGTCAATACATGTGTATTTCAGAGACCACATGACAGTTGGGACACCGACCAGTATGTGCTGGCCGTTGTACTTCCTTTAGGACTTGTCCTAATGACTGTACTCCCTCTGGTGGCTTTCGGCATCTGGAAAAGAAAATCGTAAGTGGTACATGACATACCAATTGAATAACATATTGCGTTGTACAAAGAGAGGTGTCAATGACGACAGGCATTCTGAAGAACTTTCTAATCAGACCTCTTAATACAATCGAGCTGATCCCGTCAAGACATATCATGCACCGTCCATTTGAACTAGGATTGTTTTGAAGGAATATAGTTTAACCTCAGGTTTTACACACAAAAGATGATTACAAGCTAGGGATGCTGGATGTCCTAAATACATTGTTCGGCTCCTCATTTTAGAGAAATATTTGTCTTGAAGCATTCACTAAAACAGTATTCTGTGTCTGACAACATGTATCAGGCCGCAAACACTTGGGACCCGGCTGAAAGAAATGTGTACCCACGTAACCAGCGAAACTTTTAGATATTTTAATCTTGCATTGTATTGATATACGTCGATACAGGGAGCGCACAGTGGGGTTATCAATAATGATTCCGTACAGCAATGTTGTAGACACATGTAACCCTGAACTGTTTTCAAGCAGAAAAATATTTGGCTTATCTAATACTTAATACTTTGATATCTAAATGATTTATTACAATGCTCCGTAAGTAATAACATTCGAAAATAATTGAACAAGTGTTATTTTTCCGATTTTAAGAGACACGTCGCAATGCATAGACGACGCAAACGATCAAATCAGCTCATTTGGGATGGATGAGCCATGCAACAGGAACCCAAACAGACCCGGTACCATTACAGGAAATCTTCAGGATGCAAGTGTATCTCTAGATGGTTACACACGTCTTCGCTTCCATGACGTACATAGAGGGACACACGTCACTCACTGTGATGACACATCAAACATCCACGGAGCAGCTGGAGATATGACCCTTGACCCGTGGAGCCAAGAGGGAGCAAGCGTTTCTCCAGATGACAACGCACGTCATGGTGACGCAGCAACATTCGATACTCGCCGTCATGTTACATCATACATCCAACCAGTAACTGGAGATATGACTCTTGACCCATGGAGCCAAGAGGGAGCAAGCGTTTCTCCAGATGACAACGCGCGTCACGATGACGCAGCAACACTCGATACTCGCCGTCATGTTACATCATACATCCAACCAGTTTCTGGAGATATGACCCTTGACCCGTGCAATCTACGTGGGGAGGAAGAGGATGCAGAGTACACTGTCATCGATGACAACGTCTCACAGGAAGACCGTTATGAAAAGATAATGTTTTAGTTGACTTAGAAGATGTACTGGTCAACCAATAAGAATAACGAAAGGACATGAATGTATTCGACACACGACCCACTGAGTGTGTTCCCAGTACTGCGTTTGATTTAATTCTGATGTGATGTAATATAGATAATGTAAGACATTAAAAACATCTCTGCCATGAGACTGACGGAGGACTGGGATGTCAACAACACAATGTCATCACAGCTGTTGTGAAAGCGTCAGGTCGTCACGCCTAAGGCCTGTTGTCGATTTCTCACTTGGGTACAATGCGAGAAGCTCTTTGTGTCCTTGCCATGATATAGATGGAGTATTGCTTAACACGAGGTAAAACCCAACTCGCTCCGACCTCATCCAGCCATTTATATGTCAGATGTACCGACTTGTCTTTTATTTACTGATCCAGATAGATATGGAGACTATTTTCGAAATAGGGATAAACTACATGACGTACATATCATATTAATAAAATGCCGGTGTGTCTTGAACATTATTACCCAGCAGCCATTTCAAGTTTGCATACAAATGCTACTCAAGCTTTTGTTTTTCACTGTCAGTTATTCACGAGACTTGTGCCAATCCATTTATCAACTTCTGAACAAAGGTTAGCCATGAAACAGAGGGTACATGGCGATAACCCAGCGAGGAATATCTGACAATGGTCGTTCATACACGCATTGTAAATGTTTGTAAAAGATTTCTACTTCCTTGAATTACGGCAATATTCTCGATATCAATTGAACGTTAAACGAACGAGATATCACACATTTGTGAGCATCACAGCCTGTAGTTGCATAATCGTTCTGATGGTTGATCAGATGAGCAACGTCCCTCAACTTCAGGGAACGATGTCACGCAATCAACCACATCATCGAGACTGACAACCCGACAGACAGAGAGCTGTTGACTGTTCTTACCCTGGTCCCCTGCTGGGTCACATTCTTGCGGCCATAGTCTTTGGTGGTGAAAAATTTGGTCTGTGGGATTTATTGGTCTTTGAACTGGAAATATATGTATTGTCAGTTGTGTGTGAAAATTGTGTGTTTTAATCTTTTGGTTTATGGTCAGATGTGTTATGGGTATGGAGTCTGTACCAGCATGTATATAAGCTGTTTTACCACGATAATCAGAGGGAGACATGCTTTTTCCTCACAGTTACCCCTTGCAAGGAAGCTTTTCAAAGTAATTTTAATGTTTAGATTTTCCTTGCCCTCAAAATGGACTTCATTAAAATATACGTAGGGTTCACTTTTGGAACCACACTCATAACGATTCAATATTATTAAAAAATCTTTGTATGTACAAAGGCAACTGTTGAACTGGCGCCTTTGCAATTGAGAAATTTCCGAAATTTCAACTGAAGCTCGGATTTTAATCTCGTATTTTCTTGACAAACCTTTCAGTATTTCTCTAAGAAAAGTGAAATGAACTATTTTATGTTTCTGTTGTGAAAATTGGGCTTAAGTTTAAACGTGAGTTTCGTTTGGTTTCAAGACTATAGCCCTCCAATTTATCTGTATTACATAAGGATTTGCACAAATATGAAGCTTAACATCCTGTGACGTCATAGCTCTCAAAGCGGAACATATTTCATTATGGAGATGTCACACCATCCAGGGATTGTCATCTTAAATTGTGCAAACAACTGAACTCTCGACCAGTGCATTCGGCCGGTGCATTGTATTCGGGCGACCGTTTTTATAGATATTTATCCTTTTAAAGTATTTTAATGTGCATAAAGTAGGTTTCTTTGTACAGTGTCTATAGTCTGTTTCATTATGATGTGTTATAACAGTCTTCATGTTAACAGTCATCACATGTTTTGTTTGTCTTTTTGTTGTTTAACGCCGTACTCAGCAATATTACAGCTATGTGATGGCGGTCTGTAAATAATCGAGTCTGGACCAGACAATCCAGCGATTGACCTCATGAGCATCGATCCACGCATTTGGGATTTGACATGCATCAACCAAGTCAGCGAGCCTGACCACCCGATCCCGTTAGTCGCCTCTTATGACAAGCATAGTCGCCTTTTTGCGGTAAGCATGGGTTGCTAAAGACCTATTCTACCCCAGGTCTTCACAGGTCTCATCACAATAAAACATGCGATCATATAAGTAACCTGTTTAATGTTGTGTGATGTAATTCCTGTATAAGCCTATAGACAGGCACAATAATGTACTTTGTTCATTAAGATGATATGTTCACCAGGTGTGTTTTTATGTTATGTATATTGTGTCATTACTGTGTCATTAGTGTCTTCTACCTCTACTATTGGAATAAACGGATATCAAACTCACAACCCGTAGCCTGTGGTTAATAACTGACCTTAACACCGCTATCTAATGGCTGCATCAACACTTCCTTTTGTTTTTTTGATTAAATTTAAAACGATGTAGACGGCTTCTTGTATGAAGGTCTTGTTTCATTAGTGAGTGAGTGAGTGAGTTGGCTTTAACGCCGATTTTAACATTATTCCCGGCGTGTCAGCTTAATGTGGGAGGAAAGCCCGAAATGATGCAGGTCTCAGACGTTTACCACTTTGGTGAAACCCACGAGCACGTGTATGGTGCTGACAAACCTAGAAACATAATCGGGGTGAATCGGGATTCGAACCCACAATCATAGGTTTCTGGCGTGTCCAGAAGACGCAACTCTGCACAGCGAATCGCGGCGCCTTAGACGACTGGGCCACCCATGCCCCTCTTGTTTCATTAACCTACCGAAGTACAGTGTAGTCCAAAATGAAGGTACGACTTCACTTGATTTCTTCACTTCACATTCATTAACTCGCAAAAACTGAATAAGTCGAATGACGTGTATATAGTTGTGTCTGCTGTTATTAAAACTTACTTGTTTTATAATTACTGAGCGATTTGGGTGATTTGTGTTTAACGCTGCTTTGAGCACCATTCCACGTTTATCAGGAGTGGTAGCTTAACGTTTGAGGCAAAATGCAGTTTTATGCCACCTTGGTGAAACCCACAAGTGTATATTGCACCCAGAAAGGGTCGAATCCGAAAATAGACTTGATAGCAGCAAACACTGCGACCTGTGAAGAATCGAGCCTGGATCAGACAATCAGCGATCAAGGTAATTACCCATGAGTGATAGTGGCAGTTATTTGAAGCGCACATAAAGAAGTACGACTGCGCTTGCTGGAATATTGCTCAACATAAAGTAAAAGTTGACACGCAAAATGTCAGCGCCAGAGAATAACCAGTCTCAAGTATCAAGACTCCACTTGGTGTAAAAGGCAAAATAGCAGTGAAAATAACATGAATGGAACACTGAACATCTGTAATGACACCTGGTGTGACTCCTGGCGTTCGCGAAGAGAGTTTGCATGTCCTGCGCCATTCCTCTTGTCATACAGTCTTGTGGATACTTTTGTCACTCTGAATCTTTAGGTCTGCACAGGTCTAAATATAAAACAGATCTAAATATGAAAACTCCTTTATTTAAAACTCAGGTGGGTAAACCAGTGGAAGGGTATCGGTTATTTGTCCATTATTGAACGATATTAGTTAATATTATTAGATAAGTTAATCTACTTGACAAACGTTGACCGTGTTTATAGATGAAGCTTGGGAACAAGCCTGACAAAGTGATGTCAGGGATGAAGCCTGAAAAAGTGATGCCACGGATGAAGCCTAACAAACTGATGCCAGGGATGAAGCCTGACAAGGTGATGGCAGGGATGAAGCCTGACAAAGTGATGCCATGGATGAAGCCTGACAAAGTGATGCCAGGGATGAAGCCTGACAAAGTGATGCCATGGATGAAGCCTGACAAAGTGATGCCACGGATAAAGCCTGACAAGGTGATGCCACGGATGAAGTCTGACAAAGTGATGCTAGGGATGAAGCCTGACAAAGTGATGCCATGAAGCCTGACAAAGTGATGGCATGAAGCAAGACAAAGTGATTGCACGGATGAAGCCTGACAAAGTGATGCTAGGGATGAAGCCTGACAAAGTGATGGCATGGATGAAGCCTGACAGAGTGATGCTACGGATGAAGCCTGACAAAGTGATGCAAGGGATGAAGCCTGACAAAGTGATGGCACGGATGAAGCCTGACAAAGTGATGGCATGAAGCAAGACAAAGTGATGGCACGGATGAAGCCTGACAGAGTGATGCTAGGGATGAAGCCTGACAAAGTGATGCCACGGATAAAGCCTGACAAGGTGATGCCACGGATGAAGTCTGACAAAGTGATGCTATGAAGCCTGACAAAGTGATGGCATGAAGCAAGACAAAGTGATTGCACGGATGAAGCCTGACAAAGTGATGCCATGAAGCCTGACAAAGTGATGGCATGAAGCAAGACAAAGTGATTGCACGGATGAAGCCTGACAAAGTGATGCTAGGGATGAAGCCTGACAAAGTGATGGCATGGATGAAGCCTGACAGAGTGATGCTACGGATGAAGCCTGACAAAGTGATGGAAGGGATGAAACCTGAAAAAGAGATGGCAGGGATGAAGCCTGACAAAGTGATGCCAAGGATGAAGCCTGACAAAGTGATGCCAGGGATGAAGCCTGACAAATAGATGGTAGGGATGAAGCCTGACAAATTGATGCCATGGATGAAGCCTGACAAGGGGATGCCATGGATGAAGCCTGACAAAGTGATGCCATGGATGAAGCCTGACAAAGTGATGCTATGGATGAAGCCTGACAAAGTGATGCCATCGATGAAGCCTGACAAAGTGATGCCAGGGGTGTCGCCTGACAAAGTGATGGCATGGATTAAGCCTGACAAAGTGATGCCACGGATGAAGCCTGACAAAGTGATGCCAGGGATGAAGCCTGACAAAGTGATGCCATCGATGAAGCCTGACAAAGTGATGCCAGGGGTGTCGCCTGACAAAGTGATGGCATGGATTAAGCCTGACAAAGTGATGCCAGGGATGAAGCCTGACAAAGTGATGGCACGGATGAAGCCTGACAAAGTGATGTCAGGGATGAAGCCTGACAAAGTGATGCTACGGATGAAGCCTGACAAAGTGATGCCATGGATGAAGCCTGACAAAGTGATGGCAGGGATGAAGCCTGACAAAGTGATGCCACGGATGAAGACTGACAAAGTGATGTCACGGTTGAAGTCTGACAAAGTGATGCCAGGCATGAAGCCTGACTAAGTGATGCCACGGATGAAGCCTGACAAAGTGATGTCACGGATGAAGCCTGACAAAGTGATGTCACGGATGAAGCCTGACAAAGCGATGGCAGGGATGAAGTCTGACAAAGTGATGCCACGGATGAAGCCTGACAAAGTGATTCTACGGATGAAGCCTGACAAAGTGATGCTACGGATGAAGCCTGACAAAGTGATGCGATGGATGAAGCCTGAAAAGGTGATGCCACGGATGAAGCCTGACAAATGATGTCACGGATGAAGTCTGACAAAGTGATGCCAGGGATGAAGCCTGACAAAGTGATGGCATGGATGAAGCCTGAAGAGGTGATGCCACGGATGAAGCCTGACAAAGTGATGTCACGGATGAAGCCTGACAAAGTGATGTCACGGATGAAGTCTGACAAAGTGATGCCAGGGGTGTCGCCTGACAAAGTGATGCCATGGATGAAGCCTGACAAAGTGATGTCACGGATGAAGTCTGACAAAGTGATGTCATGGATGAAGTCTGACAAAGTGATGCCATGGGTGAAGCCTGAAGAGGTGATGCCACGGATGAAGCCTGACAAAGTGATGTCACGGATGAAGCCTGACAAAGTGATGCTATGGATGAAGCCTGACAAAGTGATCCTACGGATGAAGCCTGACAAAGTGATGCCAGGGATGAAGCCTGACAAAGTGATGCCACGGATGAAGCCTGACAAAGTGATGTCACGGATGAAGCCTGACAAAGTGATGTCACGGATGAAGCCTGACAAGGGGATGCCATGGACGAAGTCTGACAAAGTGATGCCAGGGATGAAGCCTGACAAAGTGATGGCGGGGAATGAAGCCTGACAAAGTGATGCTAGGGATGAAGTCTAATGAAATGATTACCCCGACAAGGTAACCTCATCAACTAACTTTATTTTGTGATGTTTTCAAAGAATAAGGAAGGAATTTGAGTCACGTGCTTCCATGAATCCCAATGTGATACATGCGAATTTGATCACCGTTACTTTAGAGCTACAATATTTGTTTTCCTTAAGAGAATATAACTCGATACCCAACCAGCACTTTGAATGCCTTATAACAGTTTCACTTGTTTGAAGGCGAATCGGCTGAATACTTCTTCTGTCGTAGTATCCTAATCCAGTGTTATATGAATACTTTTTCCCGCAAGTTGTTTATGTGCAACCGGCCAAATTTATTTAAATATGTTTCTTTTTTTTGTGTTGCTCTGTTACATTATTAATATGTATAAGGTTTCGCTACTCGTTTCATTACGTCAATGTTTGGCCTCGTTAAAGAGTATACACTCTTAAATACTCTCTTAAATGTTATGTTACAATTTTACTTTCACAACTGTATTGTCCACATACAATTCAGTTAGATGTAGTAAAATCATCACTCCCACCCTCGGGCGTCATGAATTTAATAACACCTCGCAGTGAGGACACAGTCTTTATTAAGTGACTGCAGTAAACAGCAAAACACTACCAGAACACAAAATGTTACGTTCCAAAGGAATTAGTATTGACACTTGCTAAACATGGTATCACTGCACTTGCCAAAATAGACTTATCATGAATTTGAATGAACTGGAGAAGTAACAAGGACTAGCAGAGGTTGCACGGTACTTCCGGCACTGGTGAGGTAGTCGAGACTGGTGTGAATAATGAAACTGAATATTTACCACAAATATTTCCTCAATTTCGATGACACAGATCACCAAGGAAATATTAAACACAGACTCACATTCACCCTCGTGCAATTTAAGTAATGAT